ATGAGCCACTATTAATTATAATTTTAGGGGGAGATTTCCTTATGTTTCCTGTTTTTAAGATGAATTAGGGTGAGTCGGATGTTTTATCTTACTCCTTTAAAAAAGCTAAATTTAAACACGTTACTTTTTGTTTATATATAATCTTTGATGACTATTTTTCTTCTGCTGATTGCTGACCTGCAGAAGAAAAGAGTTTTGTTTTTTTGTTTAAAAAAAAAAAAAGGGAAGAAGTTTGTTTTGTTCGAATGTTTCCCTGGGAATTTTCTCTGGGTATCTGAATAGCAGGTCACTGGTGCTACTTCTCATGTTAACATATGATAATAGCAACAGGACCTACACATGCCCAAATCCAGGGAGGCTGGGTTGTCATCCCTGGTTTTAAGAACACTACAACCCAATAAGTCAGTCAGAGAAAGACAAATATCATAATTATGACTTCACTCATATGTGGAATTTAAGACACAAAACAGATGAACATAAGGGAAGGGAAGCAAAAATAATATAAAAACAGAGAGGGAGACAAATCCTAAGAGATTCTTAAATACAGAGAACAAACTGAGGGTTGCTGGCGGGGTGGGGGGGATAGGCTAAATGGGCGAGGGGCATTAAGGAGGGCACTTGTTGGGATAAGCACTGGGTGTTATATGTAAGTGATGAATCACTAAATTCTACTCCCGAGACCATTATTACACTATATATTAACTAACTTGGATTTAAATTTAAAAAATAGTAAGTTTAAAAAATTTTTTTTAAAAATCAAAAAGTTTTCTGCCCATAAAAAAAAAGAACACTGCAAATCAAAGAAGTCAAGTTACTTGCTGAAGGTCACACAGTGAGGAAGTAGAAGAGGACCTCAACCAACCAATCTACCTCAATCTCTCCTCCTCCCCCACCTTTCTTACACATGTGCATGAGCGTGCATGCACTCACACCCTATGGATGTTTTACTGTTGTCATTTCCTGGTTACTGACTCTGAGGCACAATTATAATTAACAAATGATCCATGCCACATGCTGAAAAATACTTAATGGCCCCAAGGGGAAAGGATGGAGCCTAAGTCACTGGTTTATCTGCCAGTGTAACTAAGAATTTACCAACACAGATTGTTGTATAACAAAGTGTGGCACTGACCAACTCAAAAGAGCAGGACTTAAAATCTGTGGGTCAAGGTGGTCTCTGCATTCAGCAATGATGGACTGGGCTCCTGATGCCTGCTGAAAATCCAGCTCTTCCCAGGACAGCTTGATCAGTCTTGCCCAGGGAGGGGAGAGGGAGGACCAAGAACTCTAAGACATCATTCCAGCTAGAAGAGCTGAAAACAGCCAGCTGTGGGATTGAAGGTATGTCCCCAAATGCCATACATCTCAATGGCAGCACTGACTGTAGGTCAGATGGAAGTGGACCTGGCTTGAGCTGTGGAGGACATGTAGGGGCTTCATCAGCCACAGAGACCAGGTTCTGGCAGAAGCTGGAGAAGGGTTAAGGACAGAGCTGCTAGCCACTAGCCTCTGCCAGAGGGGTGCCCTGGCCCCCAACCTGCCCACTTCCCAGACCTTTCACTCTCCAAGTGTAAAAGGCCCAGCTGCTACTCCTTGCTCCCCAGGGCATTCCCTGACCACTCACAGCAGGAAAGGTTCCCTCTAGATTCCTCCAGCGGTTACTCTCCCCACTTGGCCATTAATCACACAATGTTCTCCCTGGCTATCTTTGTTTCATTCATTCATTCAACAAGTGTTTGCTAAACACCTGCCCTCTGCCAAACCCAAAGCTGCCTGCAGTGGGAAGGACAGGCAGAGCTCTGCTGGCAAGAAGCTTACAAGCAGGTCTGGTCTGGGAGGCAGAGAGAGAAGCAAGTAATGTAAAGTTACAAACTGGGATAAATGCTTGGAAGAAACAAACAGGGGGCTAAGAAGAGACAGTGAGGCAGGGGAACCTTGTGGAAGGTCTTTTTAAGGAGCAGATACTCAACAGTTTACTAAAATTCTAAATGTCTCATATTTGTCCTCTGTTGCTCCCAAACAGCCTGAAGGCAGGTGTGTATAACCCTCATGAGGGGCACTCTTCTACCTCAGTCAATCCTCCAGGACAGGGACAGGACTTGAGTGACTGCCTTGGTGAATAAGTGCCCCATGTGATATGTCCCTTTAGTGATCTGGCAGCAGCAGCCACAAAGCCCAAACAAAGCCAGCAGTCCCAGAAAACACTCGACCTGACAAAGTTGTCTGACTCAGAGCCACAGAGTCCAGACCCAAGGTGGCCAATGACAAAGGTGTGCCAATGTCTGCACAAACTGCCAGTTTATAAGCACTACAGACCACAGCTAAGAGCCAAGAAGGTTGGTATGACCTGTCTGAAGGGCAACATGGCAATATCTGCCAAAAATGCACAATGCACATGTCCTCTGACCCAGTAAATCCCACCACCTGGAGTTTATCTTAAGAAAATGGTATATGAGGGGCACCTGGGTGGGTCTGTGGGTTAAGCATCCGACTTTGGCTGAGGCCATGATCTCACGGTTCATGAGTTTGAGTCCCACATCGGGCTCTGTGGAGACAGTGCCAAGCCTGTTTGGGATTTTCGCTCATGCCTCTCTCTCTGCCCCTCCCCTGCTGGAGCTTTCTCACTCTCTCTCAAAATAAATAAATAAAAATCTTAGAAAAGAAAAAGAAAAAGAGGAGAGGAGAGGAAACGAGGAGAGGAGAGGAAACGAGGAAAAGAAAAAAAAAAGAAAAAAGAAAAAGAAAGAAAAAGAAAACACTATATGAGATTCAATGGAGGGATGCCCAAGGCATTTATAGCATTTATTCTGTTTATAGCAGAACCACCAGAAGCAACCTCAATGTCCATCAGTAGGGGCCTACCTAGTCAAATAAATCAAGCTCCTCCTACCCACAGGCTCTGAGAACCATTATCAAGAGGAGATCACCAAGTGAAAAACTGCAAGCCAACTAGCAGCACCTAGAGTAGGAGGCCATTTCTTTATATAAACAAGAAAGCTCTGTATGTGTGCATATGTACTGAGAGCTGTCTGTAAAAGCACAGAGAATGTCTGCAAAGATGCATCAAACTGATCCTGATCATGATATATGCCCTGGGGTGGGAAGACATGGACCTTTACTTTTTGTTCCATATGCTTCTATTTTGTTTGCTTTCTCATCCCAGCAGTGAATTCATGTATTACTTGTGTGACTAAAAGTACATTTTAAAAAGAGATTAAAAGAAAAAGGTAAAAGACAATGCCAAGAGCTCAGCCTGAATTTTCTCCATAGCTCAGCCACTAGCACACTCCTTTCGTTCCCAACCCCAGCCCTATTTTCCAACAATTCAGTCTCTCCTGCCTTAGAAGTCACCTGAGCACTTGCAAACACCTCCCATGCCATTTACAGAGACCCTCCCTCCTAATGGCAACCACAGGGGGAAAAAGCTGTTATCTGGCAAGTTCCACAAATACTTCATAATCACTGCAACTGTATTTCTGACCCACACCTGACACTTATGACCTGATGACAAGCTGTGGACTATTTCAGTGGAGATTGCCAAGCCCCACAGAGGCCCAGGGCAGGTCCAATGCCCTCACATGCCAGCCATCACTTTCAAAGGATAATTAAGGGATTTCAGCAAGACACAAGGGCCAGAACAACCTTTTGGATTTTCTCGAGGTGTTAAGTTGAATCCTGCAGATTTCTGTCGGCACAGGACACAGGAGGTGCCGAGCATCTACCATGAACAGCCTGTGTGCGACAGGCCAAGCAGACCCTCCGGCACAGTCCCACCCGGGCTACAGGGCCCTCTGTCTCTCTTCCTGCTGTTCACAAACCAAGATAAATAGCTGGGCTGGACGTTAATTGTCCAGAAATGTCCGTGCAGGAAATACCAGACCCATCACTCACTGCAAAAGCCCAAACTCCTCCCTCCTTCTTTCCCAGCAGCTAACCTTGGAGGGAAGGATCTCCTCCGGGGACTCTTCACTGGCATCATTAGTCTCTCCAGCTAGCCTGGCTTCCCATCCAGCCCATAACGCACAGGAAATGCCTGGCTGCACCAACAGCCATTGAAATGGTAAACGGTACAACTGATTCTCATAAGACCGCACAAGGAGGACAGAGCTGACCTAAGGGAACTTCAGAAAAGTTTGCTAGACCACCTGCAACAGAGTCTCTGAGAAAGCTTATTAAAAATATAAACTCCTGACGCTGTTTTCCACATCTATTGACTCAACATTCTTGGGAGTAGGGTCAGAGAATGTTTTGTGTTTGTTTTTTTAACAATCAAAGCCATGTAATTGTGACAGTCATAACGTAACCATAGGATTTAAAACACTAACAGGGAATCTGCATTCTTAACAACCACCCTCTCGCTCTGAGAACCACTGCTCTATGGCACCAAGGGAGGGGCTTCCCCTGGGTCAGGGGGAGATCAGAGTTCCTAGCTGGTACATCTGACCCCTACAGCCTCCTCACCCACTATTCCCAGCCCCACCATCTGTGCTCCAGACTTACCCAACAGCTAGACCGAACTATTTTCTCATCTTGCTGCCTTTGCCCCTGCTCTCCCAGAGTCTGAAAAGTCTCTCCTCCTCCTGCCTCTGCCCTCCGCCCACCACACACACTGCACTCAGTACAGTGACACACAGCCCAGGTACTGTAATAGAAAGAGGGTGGCCTCAGAAATGGAGCCTTCCCTGAATTTGGTTCTTGGCTCCTCTGATGACCTTGGGCAAGAGACAACCTGTGTGAGGCTCCGTTACTATTTGTAAACTAGTGATAACACTATCTCACAGACTTGCTGTGAGAATCAATGGGGTGATAGCTCAGCATGGTGCCCAGTAAATGCTGGCTGAATTCACCTTTCCTTTGCTCTCTTTAATCCTCTCTACTGGACCATGAGCTACTTCAGGCAAACTGTCCCCTCACTCACACCCAAACCCCTAGTTTGCAGAACCCAGGGCCTCTGCTGAATGTCTGAGGCTACAAAATGAATCCCCGTGCAGTGCTCTTACCTGCCCAACGTTGAAGGTCAATGTGATGGCATAAAAGAAATTAGAGTTGGCACTTCCTGCATAAATCCAGAGGTGCCACAGGACAGGGAAGAGCAGGGAGCAGACGATAATGATGCAGGCGAGGACAAAGATGTTTCTCAGGACTGCAAAGACAGACACTCACAGTTAACCAAACGCTGATTCTCCTTGGAACCCTTTCTTATGGGCATGGCTCCACAGGACGAAGAAGCCCAGGGAGAGCCTGGGTAGCTCAAACGCAGAAACCCTCCCCCAGATTCAGAGACTCTGGGGTGCCAAGAGGCAAGCCTCAAACCCTTGAGTCAATGGCTCCCCATGCCCAAAGCTGGTGTGAAGTCCTACGTTTGGACTCTGCACCTCCCACTGTGGGCCTGGCTAGTTACAGGTGGCAATGCTGTGAATGCCTCTGGGCACCACAAAGGGGGCGTTTTAGCAAGTCAATGCCCTCTGCCCCACAATCTAGGGGTGTCCAAGGGTAATTTCTCCCATCCCCAAGCAGGGTGCTGTCTGTCCACATGGGATCACGGACAGGAAGGGCAGTGTGAACCTATGGAGATTAGAGCCCCACGGTGAGTCTCTGTGGTGCCACAGCCCTGGGTCTTAGGAAATGCTTTCCATTTTCCTTAACTCACGTCTTAGGTTGTCTGCCTTGCTCTTCAAATGTCCTTCACTCTTCCTTGGAGGATTTGAAGAGCTCTTCTGACACCCTCCCTCTAACATCACCGCCCCACACTCCCAGAAGGATTGAAGAATCCCACCAGGGAGAGGCTCTCCCCAAAGCCCCAGGGAGGACCTGCTACACACGGTGGTATGGGCAGGCAGGCAGGCAGAGTGCAGCTGGAGGGAAGGAGCAGGACAGTGCAGCCCAAACTTGGCCTCAGAAAGACAAAGACCTTGGTTAAAATCCCTGCTCTGCCAGCAAGTTTCTCTGTCTCAGCTTTCCTGTCTCTAAAACAGGGCTAGAATAGGGTCTACTTCATAGGAGGGTTACATGAATTAAACAAGATATGTGAAAAACCCGGCACAGATATATTACTATTTTCTAAGGCTGCTGTAACAAATCACCACAAACTTGGTGGTTTAAACAATACAGCTTATATTACAGTTCTGGGTCTCACAGGCTAAAATCAAGGTACCTGCGTGCCCGCTGGAAACTCTAGGGCAGAAGCCATCCGTTTGCCTTTGCAGCGAGGCAGCGGCCTGAGTTCACCTCACAACCCCCTTCCTACTCCACCCAGCAACGCCAAATAAGTCCTTGCTACCCTGCATCACTCAGACCTCCTCTTTTGCTTCCCTCTTCCACTTTTTTTTTAGAAAAATAGACTTGAGTTTTTAGAGCAGCTTCAGGTTCACAGCAAAACCATATGGAAGAGATTTCCCTCCTCCAGCTCTTCCACTTTCTAAGGGCCCTTGCAGATTACACTGGGCTCACCTGGATAATCCAGGCTAATTTCCCCATCTGAAAAGCCTTAACTTTAAGTCCTTTTGCCACATAAAGTAATATATTCACAGGTTCTGGGGATTATGTGGACATCTTTGTGGGAGGGAGCATTTTCTGCCTATCACACTGTGCTCCTCCTACCTTTTAACTCAATTAGGGGTATGTGACAGTAGGATTATGTGCTATTTTTATTTCTTTCTTTACACTTTATTGTATTTTAAAGAAAGTAATAAGTATTACTTAAAATAAACTAATTAAGAGAGCACCTTCAAAAAATTTTTTTTTTAACGTTTATTTATTTTTGAGACAGAGAGAGACAGAGCATGAACGGGGGAGGGGCAGAGAGAGAGGGAGACACAGAATCGGAAGCAGGCTCCAGGCTCTGAGCCATCAGCCCAGAGCCTGACGCGGGGCTCAAACTCACGGGCTGTGAGATCGTGACCTGAGCCGAAGTCGGACGCTTAGCCAACTGAGCCACCCAGGCGCCCCAAGAGCACCTTTAAAAAAAACAACTTACCACTGGGTCTGGGTCCCAGCAGGCACTTAATGAACAGAAGTTCCCTTCCCCTCTCTGATCCTGACCTTTAGGAAATCCCTTCCTCCAAATCAGAGTCTGGGGAGACTTAAGAGATGGGAGCCTCCCAAACATTGAGGTCGTTTGTCCTGGCTGTACGGACACTTGGTAGAACTGCTATACCAGGGTTTCATGCATCAGAAGGGGGACTGGATTACGCATGTGATTCTCAATTCTGGCTGCAAAATAAAATCACCGGGGGAGCCCTACCTGGACTAAGTATATCAGAGTGTCTCGGGGTGGGGCCTAGATACCCGTATTAGTTTGTAACTGCTTCTCTGGTGAGTCCAATATGCAGCCAGCACTTCCAACCAAAGGATGACAGCTGCAGACCCCTGGCGAATAAGACATCCAGACCAGTCTGCGACAGATTTCACTGGTCTGTGTCACAGTCACAATAATCAGAACAAGGTAGTTCAGAGTTCTTGTTAAAGGCGAATGTTTTGAATTTAAGATTCATGAGAAGTGACAGGTGTCTCTTTGTTCCTGATTGTTGTTAAAAAGTCCTTTCTCAGGGTGCTTGGGTGGCTCAGTCCGTTAAGCATCTGACTTTGGATTTCGGCTCAGGTCATAATTTCATGGTTCGTGAGATCAAGCCTGGAGCCTGTTTGAGATTTTCTCTCTCTCTCTCTCTCTCTCTCTCTCTCTCTCTCTCTCTCTCTCTCTCTCTCTCTCTCTCTCTCTCTCTCTCTCTCTCTCTCTCTCTCTCCCTCCCTCCCTCCCTCCTCTCTCTGCCCCTTCCCCACTCTCACTCTATGTCTCTCTCTCTCAAAATAAACATTTTTTAAAAAAGTCCTTTTATGGGGGCACCTGGGTGGCTCAGTCAGTTAGGCGTCCGACTTCGGCTCAGGTCATGATCTCATGTTCTGTGAGTTCGATCCCCGCATCGGGCTCTGTGCTGACAGCTCAGAACCTGGAGCCTACTTTGGATTCTGTGTCTCCCTCTCTCTCTGCCTCTCCCCCACTCATGCTCTTTCTCATTCTTAAAAAATAAATAAACATTA